TATTATTGTACAGCATGTTATTATGGAGCTATGCAGGGGTCTCTGGATCCTGTTAATAAACCCAATGTGTCATGGGTTGTTTTAACCATACCCAATTTAGTGAGCTCCAAATAAAAAACATCCAACAACAACACAGGTCCCTAGACAACACATAGAAACAAACATTCATAGCTGTTACTCACTATTCACCACTACACCATTGCTACTACAATTCCTAATCCTTGTGAGACTTGCAATTTCTACTTCTTGTGAGTTCTGCTAGAGAAAGTTATTTTTTCCTGGTTACTTCAGGCTGCTTTATTTCCACACACAAGCAAACCTCCCTCCCTTCTCCTCTTTCTCTCCCCTCTCCCACCAATGTTGCTGTGCTGGTTGGGGAGAGGACTCACAGAGGCAGCACACTGGCTATTTTCTAGGCAGCCTATCCTTAGCAGTATACTTAGCAGTATACTTATATACCGCTTCATAGGCCTTTCAGGCCTCTCTAAGCGGTTTACAGAGAGTCAGCATATTGCCCCCAACAATCTGGGTCCTCATTTTACCCACCTCGGAAGGATGGAAGGCTGAGTCAACCCTGAGCCGGTGAGATTTGAACCGCTGACCTGCTGATCTAGCAGTAGCCTGCAGTGCTGCATTTAACCACTGCGCCACCTTGGCTCTAATCCTATCCTCACCTCCACTGCTTTTAATTTGCTGTGCTGAAAGACAGTATCAAAGAAACTGAGGAATAATGATGGGAACCAGCACTGGAACCAGTACTGGCACAATTAATACATGATGCTGTATGTAAAGTAGAATCCCTCTGTAATTCAAAACTTCCAGGCTGCATCATAGATACTGCTGGCAGCTTGTGGTGTGTGTGTGTGTGTGTGTTGTCATTTGTTTTTGTTCCCTGTGCAATGTATCTCTTTTGCCATGCTTGTTAAACAGGGCATTGGCAATTCTAGACACCTCAGCATTGAGTTTGCAATAAGTGACACTGGAGTGGTTGAGAGTCTGCATTTCTTTTGTTCATTTCTCACCCAAGTGAAAGAGACCTGTAGAGAATTTACTGTGGAAGCAGAAACTCCTTTCTGAAGGAGGAAATTGGGGGGGGGGTCAAATTATGTCACCAAATACAGACATACAATACAGATAAGAGACGATGGGATGCCTGATGGCTGCCTGTGTGATCCTTTCTCAATTAACCTACTTCCTGCAGAAAAGCACAGCGCTAACCTTGAAGAAGGAATGAAAGAATTATTAGGTGAACCCCCTCTTAGCCTTGAGAAAGAAGAGGAGGTCAGAAATAAATTCAAGATAATTTGCATTTTCTTTGGTGCAAGAGGAGGACAAAACTCAGGATAATCTTGATTTTCTTTAGTGCAAAAAGCGACTGAGGAAAAGTTGCTCAGGCTTTCCGGCTTTGGTTATTGTATCTAGTAACAATCAACTTCCAGCAATCCTTGTGGTGTCTGTTTCCTGATCTTACCTGCTCTGAAGTATTTCCAATTCCAGTCCAGCAACAGGTTAGGGAAAAGTGAGACAAGATTTTCTGGTCCATCACACAACTTTTCTTCACCTTCTTCCCCCATCCTGTATGACAGGAGAGCCCCTAAGAAATTGGGGGCATAGACCTAGGGGCAGAGTTTCCTGTGGATTCCGAGTGTCTTGCAAGTAGATACCAACTGGATCTCTAGCTCTGGATCTCTGTTGAACATTGTTCAGCAGGTAATGTTGTCCTTGTATATTTCAGAGGCAGGTACAGCAAACCATGATTAGTTATGGGAGTCTAGGATGCTGTGCAGCAATCAAATGACTTCTGATAGCACTTTTAGCAGTGTTTGAAATCAATAAATCTGAGTTGTGGGAGCTTCACATTTTATTACTGTTTACAACACTGCTTGGGCAGTAGGAATTAATCACCCACAAGAACAAAATACAATCATTTTTCAGGATTATCATTCTCCCATCACCCCCCACAGTCTGTTTCTATACTGGAAAGAATTATAGCACATGGTGCTGGTATTCCACACAAAATCATAGAAAAGGCTCTCTTTATTAAATATACATTATTTACAGTTTAGGTCTTTTATACAATAATAACCATAAAAAAACAAAAAGAAAAGCTAAGGCTATTTTTGTTCATTTGTTGGTTTTAATCCCCATACAGTGTATTAAGACGTGATACATGGTCTACAAAACTGACTTGGAACTGAGTCTACATCCTAGGGGATACTATCTTCAAAAGCAAATTCTTGAGGAAGGAATAGTTGAACCCTGGTTTTTGGTTTTTACTGGAACAAAAAGACCATGGTCCGTATTAAATTGATTTTCAATGTGCTTTTTAGCAATGGATAGGGGCATTCAGGTAAACAGAGAAAGCAAGAGAGAGATTTATTATTTCATGTGTTTTTCTGTGTCTCATGTCCAATGTGCCAACTACCTGCTACAGTTGGGCAAAATGACAACTTGGCAATTTCATTTCTTAGGCAACATGACTGACAGAGGAAAATATAAAAAAGGAGAGATGGTTGAACATTTCCCACTAACTTCCCAGAATGCCCAACATGAGGGCTAGGTGACCTAGATTACACTTATTGCTTACTGGTAGACAAGGTTTTTAGAAACATTTTTTTTTTCAAAATTTGAGGATATATTTGGAATTTGTTATCGTAGAATGAAATGAGACAAGAAGCAGTCTAGATGAAGAAGACACTCTTGGGATGTTCAATACAGTGGAAGCTAGCAACGTATCACAATATGGCAGCTTTTCAATGTGTCTTAGGCATATCACAGTGGTGGGTTCTGGATCCTGTTGCAACCGGTATGGTGCAATGGAGCTGGGTGTCCACCACATGCACGCGCACAGCACATGCACATCATGTGCATGCATGCTTACTGCCCGCAACACTCCAGCTGCTTGGCGGAGCATTGCGCAGGTGCCGTACATTCCGTGCACTTAAGCCCCGGTAAGGGGCAGGTAAGGGCACATGGGTGGGTGGGCCATCCAGAGCACCGTACTGGAACGGTACCTGGTGCTCCCAGTAGGCACTGGTATGCCTGTACCGGGGCATACCGGTTGTATCCCACCACTGGCATGTCAGCAATATATTGGTTTTAGGAACAAGCATGAATTTCGATTCAAATCATGGAACATTTTATCTCTACTAAAGAAAAATTAGGTCTTGTTATATGTAGACAGAACAATTAAAAACAAAACATAAATAAAACTGAACCAAACAGTTAAATTTGAATGTTACATTGTTCCATTCCCATAATAGCAATGTCTGCCAAATATATATTCATCCCTCTATTTTGCAGCATAAAATCAATTGGGACTGAAAACATATACCTAAATTAATTAATAGGTGCTAGTTGTCAAACCACACAACTGGCTTCAGCTCTATTTATCTCAACTACACAAATAACAGTATAAAGTTTCATGGTATCAGTAGATTTAAACACTAGAATTGTCATCTAATGATGGTCCAAATTTTATCTAATTATATCATTCAAACTATAACTGAAGAATAAACACACACTATAAGAAAACAACTTTCCCATCTAGTCACAGTTTGGTGTTACAGAGTTCCCTCTATTATTTCTTACTAAGAGACCAACACAAGGCAAGCAATGTTCCTGTCAATGGGAGTAAAACATTTATTAATTTATCTATTCTGCCCCCAAGATCTCAGGAAGTAAGGTTAATGATTCATGAAGTCATCAGAATGAATGAGATCAAAAATGTCCAATCCGTTTTGGAGAGACTTGGGGTTTCAGGGAGATCAAGGCACAAAATAGATGTTGTAAGTCTCTGCAAAACTTAAGACCCCATTTTGCCCTTTAATTTCCCCTTGTCCTTCTCTTGGGATGCTTTCAGGGCCACAGATGGAGTACTGGGACCACATAGGACCCATGGATCATTCCTTTGTTCTAAGGAATTATTTATGGTATTATGAAATGGAACCTATATCTTGCAGTTGTTTGGCCTCTGTGTCCATTGCATGGCATTCTGGTTTGGATAATTTGTGTCACCCACTGTAGCTATCCATGTAGCTAATACATGTTGTGGGTAATACTTGTTGAGGAACTGTATTACCCACAAGTGAGAATGGCAAATGTTACTGATTACATGTCTCCAAAATTTTGCAGCCCTAACAACTTTAAGCTATGTGTATTTTAACTCCCAGAATTTCTTAGCCAGCATGATCTTAAATCTTGTTGCATTTCAGCAGGTAACATCATCATGCTGCTTTTGTCTGGGCTTAGAAACTAACGTGGTTGGGTCTGGTCAATGTTTGAAACCACCACAGAATATCAAATATATATGCTAATCAATTAATCAATCAAAAGACAAAGGTAATTGGCAAACTACTCCATTAGCCTAAACACTATATCTATGCACTGATCCAGGAAACAGGAAGGAGGAAATCTTAACAGGTGGCAATGCTTTAAATCATCTTGTTTGGGCTTGAGAGTTAACCAGGGTTGAGTCTGATTAGAATTGAGATTACCAAGGAACACCAAGGCTATAAATTAAACCAGGAAGCTATGAATTCCTTAATCAGGATCTATTTGCTAAGCTCCACTTTACTGCGTTCTTATAGCATGCTAAGTCATAACTTCCATTTGCTAATCACAGTGGCCAAGACCAGCACAAATTATGATATATAATTATAAATTATGCATAACTTTAGAAGATGTAATATGCATTCTTTTTTAGTAAAGATAGATGAATTTGGATTCATGAAATCTTTCCATCATGAACACACATTTAGGCTTTTTTCAAAAATGACAAAGAACCTGCTATATCAAAAGCCCACCATTCTTAATATCCTCCCCCACCCACCACCCACCCCACACAAAAAAATCTATGAGTGAATTCATATGTATCAACAACTTGAATTTTAAGTACGGTAGTATAATGTTACCAGACAATGAACAAGCCTATTTCCACACTTAATTTTTTTTTAAACTGCCTGTTTACTGATTCCCTAAGTATATTCACCTGTCTAAACTAAAAAAAGCAAAAGAAGGAGGAGGAGAAGAAGAAGGCATTGCAATTTTGGGTCTTATCTAGTAAGCTCAACAGAGAAGTATTTTCATGTTGTCCTTCCATATTGCGATCCAGAAAAAGAAAGAATCAATGCCCCTCTTCCCCACCCCAAAATAAGAAAAATTCACAAAAAATATTCTACTGTCAGTACATATAGCAATAAGAATTACTTCAGAGGGAGAAAGAAACATGTGAATGCTGGCAAAACATTTATGGATATTAACTTGTCATTGTAGACCTGGGATATTTCCAGGGGAAGAAAGCATTGCCAAGAGCATTTCAACCAATTCCTTCAATAAAACAAAGTGATAGCATCTTTTATTTTCTTTTTAAAAAAGGCAGACATCAACTTTTAACTCTTGCCACAACAATATTATTCCAAATGCATTTTGTGTGCACATGTGTATGTGCAAGGAAATATTGGCTCCTGTGTTACGCTTTCTTCTTTGTACAAGTTGCATGGTTCCCAACAGTTGCCACAAAATAGCCTTCTATTGTTGTGGTTGGAGTAAGGTAGGTGTCATTCTGAATCCACTGCATTTTTCATGTCCTAAATTATGAGTCTAAATTAAATAACAACTTAGAGTTTCTCCAGAAAGGCACCAGAATGGTCCATTAAATGCAATTGGTTCCACTAGGATTCATTAGCATGTAAGAATTCATAGGATCACAATTTAATCATATTACTTCATGATATAACCCTTTATCCAACTAACATGTGGTGAAACAGCAATCCAATATATATACCCTTGCTTTCTTTTCCTTTCAGAATTAGAACAGTTCAAAAGATCTAGCAGCTAATATTCAAGTTACAGCAATTCTCCAACTTGTTATTTTTTGTTGTTGATGTTTTTTTCCTCTTTGATTTAGTTTTCTACTTTACTACATTATTTAATAAAAAAATACATTTAGCAAAAGTTTGAAATCATCCAGTGTCAACACTTTCTTCACAATGAATAAAAAATATGCAAATTATTCAGCCCTTGTGGTCCTGTTCTGGTTTATAATAAATGTTGCCATTTTATTTGGATGATAAGTCACAGAATTGGGGAAAGGAGCTAAAAAAGTAATGGAATTTAAACAGGAAGTGACAGTTCATTTTCTCTAAATGGCTAGATGTTGATGAAGCCTGGTGTCTCAAGCGAAACTGGTGGCTTCCCATGCGGTACATCCTGCATCTCAGTTTAGATTCACATACCAAATACAATTGATTTCTCATGTTCTGTTAATTAACTGATAGTAAAATGTACGCCTTTACTGCACTGAACATCTCTTCATTTCACTTCTATTAAATAATATTAACATTCCACTCAACTTTCTGCATCAATATATATTTATGAAATAATTACTCAATATATAAGGTGTTAATGAACATTAGTGAAGGCCAATTCTCAGACATGGAGAACATGTTTATTTAATTTTTCTGGCATGAAAGTAGTTGATTGATGACAAAAGGTCTTTGGATCCACCTCTTATGGATATGCCCAGATTTAGGCTAGATAATTTAAATGCGATCTTTAAGAACTGATGGGGGGGGGAGATTTTGGGTAGCTTCATTATTTTGAAATGTCTTCTCTGGACATGAATGTGTGCACCCTCTATTGACTATTGTAACTAACTTTCTAGAAAATTTCTTTTAGCTTTTTCTCTTTTGAATTTTACCCTTAGTATGTCATTAAGTTTATTAGTTTAAAAAATGGAGCATAGATATCATTCTCCAGAAATCACAATTCTGTAGAACTATGAGCCCACACAGGGTTTGCAGAGTCAACAAAACACATAATGTGTTTGATTGCTTCTTGATGCTCCCTGGTGAACTGACATTTCTGTAGTTAAACTATCAAAGAAGGTGACCAAACAATGTATTTCTTAGAATTCATATAATAAATTATGACTTGTAGAAGCCCATAATGAGATCTCTTTAAAATATTTAACAATTGTCAAAGAACATCAACAAAAAGAAAGTACAAAGAAATCAGCAAAAACAAAAGAGTAGAGAAAAATAACTTGAATCAGAAACTATTTGAATTAGCATCTGAACCACTATTCCATCAATAATCCATCATGAGTCCATTGACTTCAATAGTCTTAAGTATGAGAAACTATTTTTGATCACAGTTCTTGTTTCTGAATAAGCATTGAAGACTACAGTATTGTCTACTAAATGGGGATATCATTGAAAGAGATTTGGAAATTGCAGGATGTCCAAAATTCACCAGCCTGTTTTTGTTGGGAATTTCCCAGTGGTAGCATGTGTCACCAGCTCCAGCAAAGCTTCACTGGTCCCTAAAGACTTCCAGATTAATTCAGTGTGTTTAAATATAAAAAGCCCAAATGTCTACGATCCTACCTATCTAGCATTTCCTGAATGTTGTAAACTTTGTTCTCTTCAAAGGATTGGTATCAATTGGAGGGAGGCTTTATGGGACTCTCTTAAATTATAAATTTAATCTGCTCCTTCCTGGGTGTATCTCAGTATTTTATTTTAGCAAATTATTTTTATACTCAAGAATGTGAAGTCAAACAACAACCAAAAAATATTAGTCCCAAGTTGAAAAATCATCTTAGAAATACAAACTGCAGTTGCATTTATTATCGCATTAATAAAATAGTGAAAAGTTATAAAATGATGCATTCAAGAACTCATCTGGAATGGCAATGGAAACCAAGCCAATAATAAAATGGGACTTGGATAAATGCTATGACTCAAATAAAACATTTTTGCTGCCACACGTCCCCCTTAGAATTAGGATTATTGTTCCTTATATTAATGTGTTTGTGTACTGAAATAAATTGTTGGATCCAACAATATCCTTCTACAGATGGAAGGACTCTTTCAGGGCTCTTTTGTTAGCTGAAGTAAATTGGATTCAAAAGAGGGAGGACAATTGGAAAAAGCCTTTTATGCATCAGCGTGTTTGTTTTAAGTGGAAACTTATTTGGGGACATTCTTCCTTTTTTAAGTCTTATGTCTTTAAAAAGAATTAAAAAATAGAAAATCAGAAAAATCCATCTATATAATTGTAGCTAATATTTCAACTTGATTGGATAGAACAATAAATTGTATTAAATAATATTGTTCTCTTTTCCATTAAAATCTAATTTGTTGGGGTTTTTTGGGAAAAATTGCAAATAAACCCATTATGCTTCAAATGGAGTAAATTATTATTAAGAGCTGCAAAGGCCTAAGGCAGATTTCAGTCTTTTGGTGACATTAGCAATCAAATTCTTCCTGATGCGATATATTTCATATTAGCTATCTAAATCCTTTAGATTGCTTGTGTAAGCTTAGTAAGTGCCAAGATGATACATAAAAGCCAGAAAGCAAGTAATATAATGCCTTTTAATGAGATGGGAATGAAATTCAAGGTCTTAAGATTTATTCCAATTTCATTCTATTGATTTCAATGGGTCTAATTAAACTTAAAATCCAAGTGCTTCTATTTAATGCACAGTGTATTATGTAGGACACATAGTGTCTTTCCTATGCAAGAAAGCCTCCAATTAACAGCACACAATGCAACATTGTGTAGTTAACAAATTAAGATAAGAAAGTAGGACAGCAAGCCCAATAAGGTTTAATGGAATCTCTAAATTGGTGAGTACAAAGTCTCTCTCTTCCTTAAAAGCTGAAAGGAGGATTGAGTTAGATTTGTGTGTGCAGAAAGGTAAGTCACTTAAGATTTCAAAGTTTGGATGAAAAAAGTACTTGAAAGCTTTTTTGGCCCTCGTAAATTCTCCTTCAATGTGGCTGTATTACAGGGGCCAACACTGTCCCCAGTGTTTTAATCATGCATTACAATTATTGTAGTGCACCCCCAAATGTATAATGAACATTGCAGAGCCTGCTATATGTATTCACTGCCTTGAGATTTTTATAAAAATAATAAAAGCAGGATATAAACAAACAGCTTCCTAGACTTAAGACAGTACACCAATTTCTGCAGAAGAAAACTTGAAACACTTCTGAGCTAGAAACTAGAGGTTTCTTTTTAAGATAAACTCCGTATGACCAATGAAGTAAGATAGAATGTATATGAATATAAGTGTGTGAGTTGCGTGTTTGTTCTATATGTATATGTCTATCTACTTGTGTAATATATATGCATGTGCGCTTCTGCTTGTGTGCATATAAATGGATTCAGAATCCAGCTCTGTTTTATTGTCTTGAACTTCTCTTTTGATCTCATTAGAGATTCAGCTTGGGGCTAAATTTGGTACATTTTCAATAGACTTTTCTATCAAGGGAAGAAAAGAATGTTCAGCAGAGCAAATGGGTGATTTATAACAGCTGTGTTGAATAAGGGGAAAATATGGCACAATAATTTATAGGAGAAAAAGTTATTGGAATAAAAATGTGAATTCCACTTCTTTCTCCTTCCTCTTTTCAGAACGCAATTAAATGAGCCACGAATGAATGCTTCCCTGTTAGTGAAATCATATAAAATAAAATGATCTGACCAAAGAACTGTCAAAATAATGACGAAAAATGTGGGGTCCTTAAAAAAGAAAAAGAACTAATTAATTCTTGGAATTCTTTGGGCATCTCCCTTTTTCTTCTGCCCTTATCTCACTCCACCCCTGCCATTAGCCATAATTCAGAAAATAACCGGAAGAAATGCTATTTATTTATATGTATGGGCAGGAGGAGTTGGAAACATAGAAATACCTCTACTAAGTATCACCATAGCCACATATTACATTAGGAAAGCTCCTAGTTATCTAAAAATCAAGCAAATGGAAGGACAAGATCTGGTGTTTGCTGAGGGTCACATGACATAGTATAATTCAGTGAATTGTATACACAGAAGTGGTTGAAGACAGTTAATCTTTGGGTAGAAAGCATCTTATATACATATCCTCCGGAACATGAGTGTTAAACTCATGGCATCATGTGATGTTTCGTGATGTTTTTCCCTTCATGGAACTGGGGTGGGCGCGACCTGTGCATGACCCATCCGGCCTGTGGGCTGCCAGTTTGACACCCCTGCGTCTACAGGAAACAATGATTTGCAAACATATCTTCCCTCTACTGTTTTTCACCCTCTTTCCCGAAAATTGCCATTAACTTTATGCAGACCCTGTCAGCACTTTTTTGGAAAGAGGAGAAACAGATGGGAGCATATGAACAAAACTAGCTAACAGGGGAGCAAACAAGCATAAGAGAAGGTTTGTGAAGGAATTCTACAGGGGAGGATTGCAGGATGAAAAGCAGCCTGACTGACCATTTCCAGAGACTGATTGAGCAAAAGAAGTTTAGCTAACTGAGTGATGAAGCCATTGCATCAAATTCCATAGAAGTGTAACATAGGAATCAGTCTTCTAATCCAACAGAATAGTAAAAAATAGTAAATTGTACAAACCTAGGAAATTAAAAAGGGAAGGTATGCTTTTCAGTATATTGGATCCAGAGTCTAATATCAATCATTTGACTGTTGGACATAAGTTATAACTCTTAGCCACAGTTAATTACAATTTAGCAATACCTGGGAGCCACAGGTTCTGCACAGGTAGTCTAGAGCAGACCTGCGTATCACCATATTTGACCTTTTGGCTGTCCCTGTGCAGCCTGCAGTATTGGTAGTGGGGGTGGGATCATGGCAGCAGGGGGCAAGGGCCATGATAATGGTGTGGCCATAGCAGAGGGCAGATCTGTGGCAGCCCAGTCCCAGTGTCTCATGTGGCCCCTTGGGAAAATTAATTGCTCATCTTTGGTCTAGGTTCCTATCAGTGGAATTAAGCGAGAAGGAGAATTCAATTTTAAAGGCAATAAAAAAGGAGGCAGTATTCAGACAGGTTATTCAGGTGAGGATTGTTTGATTGGATTACTCAAGTAAGGATGGTAAATTACAGGTTGAAATGCTGCTAACATCACCCAAAATGAAACAACAATCTAGAAAGAGAAAGATCTCTTCATCCTAAAGCATCAAACTGCAGTTGAGAGCTGGATGAGAGATCCTCTTTCTAGGTAGAGGGATTCAGTAATAACAGTGAGTAATTTCACTCACAAGACAACAAACTCAAGGATTATATATCTGTCTTCAGAGAAGGGATTCTTCATATCTTCCTGGATCACATGTCAAGATAGGATGGGAAATGTTTTAAATCCCACTTCTATACTAGATCTTCATCCAAAAAAAGCAGGTGGGATTCATTTACCTTCCCTATCAGTTTGCCAATGCGAGCACACATGCACTCTCTCTCGCACTCTCTCTCGCCTCATCTGCACATATGCACCACCTTCTGCACATGTGCAGTCCTCACGCATTACATCAGGGTGGGTAGGCAGAACCTCCCACAGCCACTGATATCGGTTCACCCAAACTGGAGAGAACCGGCTGAATACCACCTCTGGATACAGTGTACCAATGTACTGCATTATATTAGTCATGATTTTTCTACGCTTTGACTCACAACATACCTCATTTGCAACTGATTAAAATACAATTGTCTCTTCCTACCATGAGCTAAGGTCACTTAACATGGGAGGTAGCTGAAGGCACTTTTTCCCTTTTGTCTTCCCTTCTATCACATATTTTCCCCATTGTACTGCAGTCTCCCTGGATGCTTGCATTTTATAAATTTAATGAGCCCAACAGAAGAATCATCTAATGGAACTCAGGGAAGTGTAATTTCTATTGAAGAAAACAGATTCTTTCACCAAAACAAATTACGCTTCAAAACTAAAAAGCAAGAATAAAAGCAGAAGCAATTTTGATTACTAAGAATGATTGAGAATGGCCAAAGAATCATCTATGACATTTTTGCTATTATTATCACTCAATTTCACTAAATAACAGAAGTCCTGTATTTTGAGGAAAGAATTATTATCAATTATTTTCTGAATTGTGAGATCCCCAGAGTTGTTTGCTGAGATGGGCAGCTATAGTATCAAAACAAACAAACAAACAAACAAACAAACAAACAAACAAACAAACAAATTTGACCTGAAAGCATAGTTTCTGCTTCATCATCTGTCTTGGGTGGGGGTGGGAAGCAAACAAAGAGGGGAAAAAACAGAACTAAATGAAACAAAACTTGATATTTTTGTACAAAGTCCTGTACTATACTGATGCAAGTATTGCACAGATGAGAGGGACTGAGGACTATATGGGATATCAGGAATAAACATGTGTTTCTTTGCCAAACTAGACGAATCAGCACACAGACACATAAAATACAACATATAAAGTCTGATTGCATTCTCATCTTACATTGGGGATGTCCAATCTGAAAACCCAGGGTTGATGTGGCTTTCCAGAGTCTCCAAGAAAGATCCTTCAAGTCCTCCAAATTTAGGGTCCAACTGTAATTTCTAATATACCAGCAAATATACTGTAAAGAATCGTACTCGAAACTGATAGTATAATTAAACCGAAGTTAATATTTATCCCGGATCAATTCATTCTCAGGCCAAAGGTGATTCTTGGCTGAAAAAGAATAACAAATCTCTGGCATCAGTCAGAGTCACCTTGTAGAGGAGAAGGGAGGCATAAAACTTTATATAAAGTCAGTCAGTCAGTCAGTTCTCCATCGAATATTCAAAATTAAATGGATATAAATATGAACCAAAAACCAATCTAGATAGTTATCTAGAATAGTATTTCTCAACCTTGGCAATTTTAAAATGTATGGATCTCATCTTGGGAATTAAGTTACACATTATTAAAAGAGACAGGATGGTTTTGATAAAAATGTATTCTTTGGGAAATTCACATTTTTTTTCCATAGGATATTTGCAGGGAAGCCTAGGCATTTAAACTGTGGGGGGTTTCTTTATATTTATATAGTGCTTGGTGCCACCAGTTTTAATGTTTTGCATTCAAATTAGCAACATCACTAGGCCATTTATTCATGTGAGAGATGACACAATGTCCTAATACCTAAGAAGCTGCTAAAGTGCCTGTGAATTGAAGGAGCTAATACCTCTGCCTCAGTTATTACTTCATGATACAATAAAGATTATTGATTGCATCTAATTTTATGAGATGGAGTTTTGATAGAATGTTTTTTCCCTATAATGTGTGGGGGGAGGGGGAGGAAGGGATCCTCTTTTCCATAGGACTATGTTTTCTTTCATAAAAGTGGAGAATGTTGCTGGAAAAATTTTAATGGATATCTCTCTTTGTGTGTGTGCATTATTTTTCCTTTTTCAATGGGTGGTTTATAATAGACATTATAATAGAGACATTATAACAAAGGATTCAAATTGGGACAGGAAATCCATAGCCTGCACAAACCAGAATCTCTGCCACAATCATTGCTGAAAGTAGACTGACTTAATCGAAACTGCTACAACAAAATATGGGAATTCTCTCTCTGTCTCCCTCTCTCTGTGTGTTTATTATTCATATTAATCATTCTGTTGAAATGTAAAAATTGCCAGGTTGGTACAAATGTCACAAAGCCACCCTTCCCCCTTTTCAATTTTTTGGGTTGTTTCTATCATAGGAAATGTCACTTCTGGGGAAAAAATGTTGATTTTACTCAGCTACAAACATCAGCAGAAATGTGGCGGAACTGTTTCCCTAGACCAAATACCTTATTTGAAAAATTCTCTCCATTCCAGATGCTACATTAAAAATAAAAGGGAGGGAAGGAGGACACTTTTCAAATCAAAAAGTTCCAGATCAAAATTAATAGGGAAAGAAAAAAAAAGGTGAACATTTACACGTGCATTTCGGGGAAGGGAGGGAGAGTGATTTTAGCTACAAATGACATAGGGACTAGTCTTTTGTGTCCCTGAAGTCCCTTAGGCCCTATTTAAATGTAGCTTCATGAAGGGCCTGCAGACAGGTTGCATAACCCCTGACTCACATCTACATTGAAGGTGGTACAAAGAAGCACTGCCCTAAGTCTCCTTTCAAGGCCCTTTGGAAGATTTTGCCCAAGAGAGGACCAACATGGAGGAAAGTGCCATTATCCAAGAAACCAAAGGGAAAGTTGATGCTCAGAGGCCAAAAGATAGGTTAAGAATTCATTGGGCAGACTTGAGCCTCTCTGGATTTGCTGAAATCCTGAGCACATGACACATCTCACACCTCTTTGGCCTTCTTCACAGGGGTCCTCTGGCCTAGTCACAAAGCATCCCTTCAAAGGACAAGAACCAGGTAGCCCTCAGATGAAGAGCACTTACAAATCATTTTGGAATACCAAAGGCATCGCTCGTGCTCAAGCCCAATGGAACTGTTTCTAGTCTTCTCATCTTTAGACCAACTCTACTGCAGACTTGTAAACTTCTATCCTGGAGGACATGAGTGATTGAGTGATGCCTCTTAGAAAACCAAGCTATTTCTCAGAGTTTCACAAGCCCACCTTGAGTGCCAGGTGATTCTTGAACCAAACTGACTCAGAATCTAAAGGGTTATGCAAGGAGGACAAACACTTGATAGATTTATCCAAGTGGTCTCAGCTCTCTCCAGTCATCCCATTCAGAAAGTAATATGATCTTGCAAACTCTAACCTTGTGTTGGACAAATGTTTCAGTTTGAAGGAAAAGAAGTGATCAGATGGAACATAAATGAAAAAGGCTGTTCCAGATCCTTAGTTTACAAGTTAAGCAGAGCACCACAGACACGAAACAGAATTATGCCAATTTACAGGACAAAGGATTTGGCTCATCTTAAATACATTTTTAGCGAGATAATATGATCTTATTCTTTCACACTACCTTGTTGCAATAGCTGTAATGCTACATAATTAGCTTGCACACTTTACCTCTAGTATATATCACTCAGGTCCAACATGAAATGGTCCAGAAAGCAACATCTCAGAAATCCAGAAACTAAATAGTCAACCATGCATGTAATGATGAACTTAGTTAGAATACATGGTTGCTTGAGCAGTTAGGTGTTATCTATGATGACCTTGGATGGAGAACAGTGCAGTTCTGCCTATTTCTTCTGTGTCTATTAGTTCTTTCCAAAGAGTGGGGAAATTCCAAAGTAACAGATGGATTAAAAACACCATCACCACCATCACTACCATCATCATCATCATGGAAATGCCAAAGTGTAACAAGGAATGAGAGAGTCTTTTAGATAAAGTATTCTCGTTTGCACTCGCTCACTGGGTTCTGTAAGTCAACCTCAGTCTTAAAAGAACGGTCAAGGTGTTCTGGATACTCTTTTTCCTTTGTCTGGCTGTTCCGATGAGTCTGTTTGTGCCGATAAAGGACTCTGCTCATAATGGCCACAATGCAAAAGATGATGAAGATCACAACTGCAATAATACCTGAGGTGCAAAAGACAAAATGTAAACATAAGGAGAAGTTCAGAGTGAGATATGTGGCCTGTTCAGCAGAATAGATTTTGTTTTGTTGTGAAGTTCACTGTGGCTGCTTAAGTGAATTTTGTCTATAATTATGCAGGTTTGTTATACTTAACCTCAACTTCTTCCTGATCTCAAGAGAGAACCAGCCAAACTGGCTGCACTATATTTCGTGTTGAATTACTTCAGCAAACATTGTTCATGCACAGATTATTATTATGCAATATTTCACTGCTATTTCATTGGTGTCTATTGGTTAGGAAAATGGCAAGCTATTCTTCAGTCCCTCATACTGCTCCTAAATACTCTTTTGAAATGTTGAGGTCTACAGTAGATAGTGAGACATCTGGAGGTAAGGGTGGTACTCATGCAGGAGGTAGGAAAGGAGATCCATTGTGGAAATCTGCTCATATGATGTTAGGAATAGCCAATCTCCTCCTCCCAAAGGAAGCCTAAATGAATATACTTTGTTACCAAGTTTCCATGACATCTAAGCACCAATCTTACCTGCATTGATAAGAACTCTCAATTATCATAATTGCTATTGAGGGGATTTAAAACATTCATGGTCCTAAATCAATCTAGCTAAAACAGGATATTCATTCAATTGGATTGGGATGGTCAACCCTTAATTGATATAGTACTAATTCAATTACTTTATCTTTGGTACTCTAATTCATGTTACCTAATTGTGAAGTCCAATGGGTCATAAAGTTTGAAAATACTTCACTGAATTGTGCAATGAGACAAAGAAGATGAGGGACCCCAAATAAACTCAAAAAACTGCTCATCTTTCAAAATGCTTTTTGGATCTATACTGTAAAACACAAAACCAAACTAAAATATTTTCTAAAGCTCTGGACACAGTAGCCATAGATACCATTACAAGGGCACCACATTAGCTGGCTCATGATTTTGGTGCTGCTATAGATAAACTGTGGATGGATAAAGATATCACTGGGACTAGCGTGTGTAATTGCATATTCCATAGCTTCCAGCAGAATTAAAATAGCAACAAACAAAAGGGAAAAAAATCCCTATAAAAACTCAAAAATATTATTCTTTTTCTACTACATACAATGCCTACATACAATTTCAAATCAGAAATATTAGACAATTGAGAAAGGTAAGAAAAAGTTCTTTTCTGCTAAAAGAAAACGAGGTTTGAAGAATCACTAAGGCATTTGACCCTGCAAGCTGCATTGGAATAGCAATAGCACTTAGACTTATATATTGCTTCATAGCCCTCTCTGAGTGGTTTACAGAGTCAACATATTGCCCCCAACAATCTGGATCCTCATTTTATTGACACCAAAAGGATGGAAGGCTGAGTCAACTGTGAACCAATCAGGAACGAACTGCTGGCAGACATCAGAATTAGTCTGCAATACTGCATTCTAACCACTGAACCACCACGGCTCTTGATTGCAGAAATATGATTTGCTCAACTTACCTCCAATGAAGGCTGAATCGCTTCTGACAGCATTGCTGAGTGGTTCTTTATCATCAGCCTTCCCAAATGGATCTGTAATTCATAAGAAAAACCAAGGTAATGCTTATATAATTAAGGGGCTGATCTTTTTTTCTGGCTGAGACTCATACTTGACCTTTAAGAAATATCCCAGATGCCATCCTCCAAAAACTTGTGGATGCAGCCAAGATAATAAAATAAATATAATTTCATTGACTCTGACCTTCACAGAAAATTAATACAATTACTCTTCAGCCACATGTGTGCTAATTTTACTACATTTCATTCGAAATTACAATTTGAGGACAATGTTTGAAAGTGGTTTTTTGAGGACCGCTTTAATACATATATAGTGATTTTTAAAATAAATATTTGCACTTCTTACTATCCCCAAATTGTTGACAGTAAACTCATCTACAATTTGCTCCCTTTTTTTCCAGCTCTGATAACATTTCAAGATCCAAAGCTTAGGCCATTTTAACTCAAAAGAAAGAGGATCCTGAATTTAAGATGCCTTCCATATAAAGCAAAGGTTTTAAAAAATTCCAAATCTGCTTTCACTATTACATTCTAAGAATTTAGAGAATTTAAGATGTTTTCACTTTAAAATTACATAATTTGGTAAAAATTAGTCTTCCTTTCAGATACATACTGTATGATTTTCCTCCTTGTTTTATTTTTATATAAATACAGCACTAATGGAGTGTCAGTCTGTCTGTTTATATATGTGTCAGCATTCAAAATTGCCTCCACTGCTTGCCTCTCTGAAGGATAAAGACAGTTTCAGTTTTGGGGAAGAAATGTTATTAAGCAAGGAGGTTTGATTGGACAAAACAAAGGAGGGGAAAGGGCTAGAGTTCTCCCAGTGGAAGCGTCAACCATCCATGGATAAATTTTTATTTGTAAAACTTGCACCAACTCAACATGCATGTTTGATTGCCAACTATCTGCATACTGTTTCATAACTCTAAAGAAGAGTCTTAATTTGTAGCAAAGGCCAAGATTTACTCCTGGAGGTAGAAATACTTCTAAAGTTTTATAGGCTCAGAATTATTTGAATAGATCAGCATTAGAAGTTCCAAATTCTAGCATGTCCAATATAGTACCTGGGAGCACCACTGTTTCTACATACAATTTCCTTCACATCCATTGGACCTTCTGTCCCAATTGGGTATAATATTGCTTTTTGTATTTTTGATTTTTTTAAAAACCAGTAGACATATTACAACACAAACAATCACCTTCTAGCATTTTATTTCCAAACTTCATTCTCTGTATATAACTAACTCACCTTGATGTACTTCTGTTGCATTCACCACTCATTTATTTTTATTCAGTCAACTTCCTTCAGCTCCCATGTAATTTGACCCTATCTCATTAACCGCATGATTCTTGTACATCCCATTCCCATTTCATTTAACTGATTCTTATGCTTCTCCTGACACATATGTTTTCACCATCATTTGTACATCTTAAAAGTATCTCCATCCATTTTGCCACCTTTATTAAAAATCCTTCCAAGATACACAAATGCATCTACTTCTCTAGTTCCTCTCTGTAGTTGCAACTTGAAATCATTAATATGATTTAATTACTTTGATCAGTGATGCAATTTTTAGATCCATACTCTCATTGCATCACACCAAGATTCGGTACAAATCATTTGGTTTCTTAGTCACAATTTGGCATCCTAATGTAGTTGCAACAGTTTATTTATCCATTGCATTTATTAACTTATTTTTTAAAATTTACGTTTGGCCATCTCAAGCACATTATTCCAGCCAACAGAAGTTGAATGATTTCAATCAAAAGTATAAATAAAATAAATAGCAGCCAAGAACAACAATCAACAACTAGTAATTATTCACTACAGTTAGTAGCATCAAGTAATATGCTCAACCACACCATCAAAACCCCAGGCTTGAGGACAGAACCAGTTCTTTGAGGCCTTGTAATATACCCACAGGGTTAGGTGGAGTCCAATCTCTGGGAGGATGCTATTACAGAAGGTGGATGCAATGGCAAAATAATTCCCTCTTCCTGGGTCCCGCCAAACAATATTTCCTGGTTGACAAAACTTAACCCTAGCCCTAACCCTATATAATCTTCCCACTAAACTGGGTGAGATGGGTGGAAGCAATTAGGGAGAGACAGTCCAGTAACTGGTCTTTACAAGACTGAAGGGCTTTATAAGTAATTAGAAGCACTTTGAATTGTACCTGGAAGTCCACTGACAACAATGCAGCTCACAGAACTGAGGTGTCACATGTGCTAAACAACAGACACCCACAACTGTCTGTATTTCTGCATTATGCACCAGCTGAGACTTCTGAATACTCTTCAGGGTAGCCCCATAGAGAGTGCATTGAACTATTCCAATTGGGATATGAGGAAGGTATAAATGTGTGAGTTCAGCCTTCAGGTATCTATAAACATATCCATCCATTTATTAATCAATAAAAAACATGATGCAAGCCTCTCCCTCCCTCTCTCTCTTTCTTTCTTTCCTTCTCTCCCCCTTTCTCCTTCCCTCCGTCTCTCCTTCCTTCCTTCTGTCCATCCGTCCGTCCTTCCTTGTGCAGGCTTTTATCAATTACCTGTCTGCTATATCAAGTTATAGAAGATATCAGCTTATCTTCTATAAGCTGATGTTCTCTAGCTGGCCTGATGGATATTGACATTTTCTGCCCATCATGGCTTCGATCAATCAAAGTTTTCACATTTTTAGTAAGTTATAGAATTTGTGAGGTAGGCTACCACCATTAGTTATACCTATTACCTATTTATTATTATTATTATTTTTTTATTTTGTTACATAAACAACACATGCCCACACCAGTGGGAAAAGAAAAAATCAAAACACAAAAAAGACAAAAAACAGAAAACAAGGCAGGGGGAAAAAAAGAAAAAAGAAAAGAAAAAAACACAAGTATATATTATAAAAAAGTATATCAGCTGGTTACAACATGTTTTTGTGCATCTCT